ACATTGGATGTCTGCTTAAAGAGGTAGATGGTATCTTTAGATGTTATATGTGTATATATGTTGCATTATATGACATAATGCGACTCAACTTCACGGGTCATTTTTGTGAATCTTTACAATCGCAAATATGAAGATAGGATAGTGAAGTTTGGCACAAACATCCCTTGATCGATTATAAGAATTTGCTCTCCTTGCATGTGATTTTCAACGATCTCCCGTTACGTTTTGCTTAAGCTTAAGCCGTTGATCAATTGCATTGGTTCATTCGCCTTTTAAGGACGAAACGGTGCCCTGGTAGGTTCGCAAGTTTCGGTGATCTTTTTCCTTCGTTGTCATCTAATTACCTGAGGCATATTTGCTTGGCATTCGGGTTACTTGTCTGGACTGCTTGCTCTTGTGTTCAGTGCTTACGTTCGACCTCACCCGTATGGATGGCACTACCTGTAGCTACATTATCATCGGCTTTGCTCTTGGGGTCCTTGCATTTATTGAGCGTCTCCATCGCGACAAAACGACATTTGTCGGGGTCGAGGTTCGGCATAAACATTTCATAATCAGTTAGGAATATAAGGTCAACCAATGGCCGTGATTTGGTCACTTACATGACTATACCATACCAGAAAAAACTAAAACATCCTCGATCCATCCGCTGGGAAGTTATAGCCTAATATTTTACCTGTTGATTTCTAACTTTAAAATGTGCGATTTTGCCTTTGCACGGATGCAGCAAAATAGGCACAATCGAGCATAAAATGAGAAGAATTTGAACAGGGAAAGCCATTTTTGCAGTCCTGGCGTTGCAGTCTAGTCATAAAAAAATACATTATTATAAGAAAACATATCATAAATAAATTGCAAGACGTGAAAAGCGTTTTTTTTTTTCTCAAAATGCGACCACAGCGGTCTACGGAAGAATTTTAAAATATTTTTATGTCCTGAGACTACGACTTGAGATAGGCCTATCTGTATTATGCAGATCGAATCTGAACCTTCTTTTGAATCGATCTGAACTTGTCTGTCCATCTGTCCGTCCTTCCGTACGATTTATTTTGCATGCAACGCATTGGTTGCGTCTTCTTCCTCTTCTTATTCTGAGAAGGTTTTGCACGAATAACTGCACGTGGCCTGCTATGGTGTTTTTACTTGTTTAACAATGAAAGAGTGTTTTGTCTTCTGCTCGCTAATAGAACAAAAATGAATATTTTTAGAAAATCACATGAACTCCTCTAGCTGTAGGCTTGTAGATTCGATTTGCTTCCTTTTCCTTTTAATTAAAAGTGACGTCGCAGGAGTCAGTATAACGCTAGGCTCATTTCACTGAACATGCTTCGCAAGAATGTGTCGAATGTTGCCATTTGTTATAAATTTTCTAAAATCATCTTTTTTCCTGAAGGTATGGTGGAAGGTACCAAAGTCCTTAAATGTTAATATTGTCATACCTTTCCGTCGAAAGAAAGCTTCTTTAGACCGCTGCAATAGTGTTAGAAACTTGCGCTTTTCCTCTTTTCTCTTGTTTATGTGGCCAACAATTGTTTAAAGTGATTTATGTTTTTTTTCTTAATTTAAAATGCTATAAAAATTTTTACATAATAGCCATTAGAATAAAAATCAATTTTAATTAATGTTTTATAAACATCGAAATATAAATTAGTTAACGTTGTGCATATTTACACATCCACCAGAGAGCGAGATGTAGGTATACCTAGGCTCGTCATTGTGTACGCGACATTCAATGGTATTTAAAAACATGGATAGATTGTTGACCTATTGATCGACCTATTCGCCTATTCGCTTTAAAGTTCAAAACTGGGAATTGAATAACCCTAAGCAAATTTTTATGCCCTAATCGTGTACACTTTAACTTTCACAATGGGCTTGTATCGTCCGCCCGTAGAATACTCAAGCAATCTTTGAGAGAAATTTGAAAATTCCCCAAAAATTGCAATTTCCATAGCAATAACGCATGACTTATACGAGACGGCTGTCTGGCTAAAATTTAAAGCCAGATTAAAGATTGGGCTTAGGCGTTCATTCAAATTTTTATAAAGGTCAAAACGATTTTTTTATAATCATTTAGGAGACAAGCAGCATCGGAGAGTATGGCAAAACGAAGCTGAAAATGGTTTTTTTATTTTTATACGATACACACCTTGCGGTACAAGGACATATTAGGTTTGCGCGGATGTATACAACACCGAGCAGAATTTGAGTTAGGCCCATCTTTACCGATTGATTTAGAATCATTTTTTACATCGATCTAAGTTTTGTTTGTCCACCTGACCATAAGTTATGGTCTCCATCTGTTCGTCTGCCCACCTGCTCCTTCATTCGTCAAGAACGCACGCTGTTGAAAATGATTCCGATTGGGCCACTTTCTCGACTACTGGCCGTAGAAAATTTTATTTTCAAAATCAAACTAAGCGCAATGGTGTATGGTATTTAATGGTAGGTCGCGTCCCACTATAATGCTTTTACGATTTTTTTTTTTTGTTTTTTTATTTATAGTTTTCTTAATAAGATTTACGAGCCTGAGATTTTTTTTACATCTTAAAGAGAAAAACACATGCTAACGAAGTGTTTTCCCTTTTTTTTTTGTTTTTGTAAATTTTATTTTTATGACAGAAGTTTATAGTGGTTTTTAATTTACAACAAAATTGAAATTATAATACGTGTGAATTTTTAAATATATATATATGTATATATATATATACATGTGCATATGTAACATGAAGGGGGGGACAGGAAGAAGGAGAGAATGGAGGCGGCGAAAGACGAACGAGAAAGCAACAGCAATCTAAATAAAAACACTTCATAAAGATTTTTTTTTTGTTTTTTTTTTTTTTTTTTCAAAGGTAACAATTCAAGCATGACAAGTACATCTCATCTTTGGCATCGTGAGCAATAACGGCCAACGGATTGTAAATGAAATTGTTGTTCATGTTGCTTATGCATACAACATATGTTGAAATATATATATGAATGTGTGCAAATATATATTTACGTATATATACCAGAGACATTGTGTGTGTGTGTGTGTATTGGCAAAAATTTTGATCTCCTTTAGCAGGTTATCAGTACGTAGTGAAATATTTACACAAATACCACACTAGAGACAAAGCAAAGCGAACACATACGCACTCACACTCATAAAGTTTTTGTGGGATATTACAGACAATGCTCAACGATGGATTCTACATTAATTTTGTCGTTCGACTTGCAACACTCATGTCCATTTGTTCTAAATCAAGAATTGTTAGTCGATTTCTTTGCCTCTTTGCATATTCCATTACAGCCATCGAAAGTATCAAACCATGAATATCGCAAAAATTGGGATATAAAACTTAAAAATTTCACTTACACTTCTTTCGTCTTAACATCATAACTAGTTTAAGCGTTCCATTTTACTACTATATTGGAAGTACATACATTTTGAATAGTTTCAGATGTGGAGGCACTCTATCTTCAGACACCTTATCTCAAGTTATTCATCTTTGCTTCTGTCTCGTTGAAAGTTTGACGACATCAAAGAGAACTTACACGCAGGGTTTAAGTGTTATTGATTTAGTTCACCAATCCAACTTTTCGAAGCATTGTTACCAAGTAGCTTAAGAGTAAAAATTTCTGTTCATAAGTCTGAATAATAGGCTAGTAAGCCCTTCGTACGAAAACTCTTTAATACTTCTGTACAGAAGGTAGTCTTATTTGTTTTGCTTGACATGCACCTCCTAGCAAAACTATAGCTAGACTTCTGAAGGCATAATTGGTGAGTTGAACAGCCCCTGATAGGTTTTGTTGATTGATGGTTTTTGGAAATTTCATATTTCCCTTAAATCGTATTAAATTTTCCACGCTATACTCACTTAAGAGAAATTTATATCACAGAACAAGATTTATGGGAGTTTACGTAATTAGTATACGATTGCGTAAATGGATTATTTAATATTTCTCACACAAAAGAATTGAGGCCTTAGCCACAATCGTTACGGTACCTTGAGAGGAAATCACTGGGTTTATGAAGAGAGAATTACGTGAAACTGATTTTCGTTTAAATCGAAGACCCTTCGACTCAAACAAGAAGCCCCCCAACTGGTCGTGAGTCCTCAGTTATCCCTCACACTGCAATTAATTATTAAGACGAATTCGAGGTATATTCGATTAAATCAATTGATGACAATTGAAAGCGATTCGCAGGTTAATAGGTAGTGTAACCACATCACTCAATAGCTTCGTACTACCCAAAAAAATCATATAAATTCTTTAATGGTGACAAAGTCTAGATGCTACGAAGTTATTCAGTGATGTGCCGGGTTGTCAACTCTTTGTAGATTTTTGTAAAACATGACCAGTAAAGGGCTTCTGTGGCTTCACCTATACCTTCGATTTCTTGGCTTATATTTTGGGCACTTAAAGAGTTAATGCACGCATACAAATATATTATATTTTTGGCACTTGTTACATACATTCATCTCATAATTTGTCCCCGTAACAGTAGCAGTAGCAACAACAATTTGTAAGTGTAACGAAATCGTAAAAGGAGAACAAAAACAAGAACAAGAAGAAGAAGATGTAGAAATAGAATAATATTGGCGGATAGATGGCATGGTTTGCTCGGTTACAATTGTCTATAGGTGAATTAGTCGGTGAATGTGTGGTGTGCGGTTCGCGGGTACTAACGGTAGAGGCTCGTAGATTCCTTGGTGCGATTTGGTTTTACTTTTTTCTTTAAAAACAATTTTGTTGCAAAATTTTGTTTTGTTCTGCTGCGGCCGCATTTTCACCTCCACCCACTTCCCGTTAAACATTTATTATTATTATTATTTTTTATTTATTTATTTTTTTTTTTCTAATTTATCTGAAAATTTTTAATATTTTTTTTCTTTTTCTTATGTAGCCAGAGGAATAAATCTTATTTTATTTTATTTATTAATTTTTTTTCTTTCTTTGCTTTTTGTTTGTTTTTTTTTTTTTTTCTTTTTGCACCTATGCCATTAAGGCTTAAAATCTTGTAATTGATTTAGTTCTTCTAAATCATCTCTCAGCATAACATTCTGCCAAACGTTTAACAACGCATTTGTTCGGTTCGGTACGGTGTTCCTCATAAAACAAACCAAAAGGTCATTTAGGCAATTTATCAAAGCATATCACATAATCAGTAAATAGCTAAATAATAGAAAAAAAAGAAGGAAAAAAAAAAAAAGAAAACCGAAATCCTCTCTGTTATCCTGTTAAAGCGGAAAAAAAATTGATTTTATTTTTTTATTTACTTTTTTTTTTTCTTAAAAATCGCTTGCAATACCGTTTTCGTTTGCTTTTCTCATTATAAAGGATTCGATTTCGTTTCTGTCTGTGTCTGTGTGTTTGTCAGTGTCAGTGTTTCTTCATCGTCTCATTACCAAGTAATAACTAAAAATGGTAAGTGCTTTCTGTGTTTTTTTTTTTTAAATATTTAGCGAAAATTTAAAAAAAATTTATTAACTCGTAAATGTTGATCGCTTGAGTCATCTTACTACGAGCTAATTGATGCATGTGTTCATAAAATTTATGTTATTGCTGTGCATTATTTTTAAATAAAATACAAAAAAAAAAAAAAAAAATCTATAAATAAATAAATGTTTTGTGCAGTTCTTTGCAAGCTTCAGCCTTATGACAAAATCCAAATAGCTTAGGATATTATCGTCGCTTTTTTTTTTTTTTTTTACAATTATGTAAAGCAAGGTGAAGTCAACTTGGGGGGCAGTGGGTTTAATGCCCTCCCTGGAATCGATTACGATTGACTGCAGGAAGGTTTCGTTATCGGCCTTGAACCACGCTTTGGCGTTTATTAACTTTTTCTTTATTTTCTTACGTGGCAAGAAAGCAACGAGACACTGCATCTCGGCACCGACGAACGTTTGCGGTCTCTGCCATAGAAAGCAATATTTTCAAGAAAATGGAATCCTTGCAAAGAATATGTTAAGAAAATTGGCTTTTGTGTGTACTTCCAAAACAACAACAAAACATATTTACTTATTTTAGCACAAGCCTAAACATCCATTAGGCTGAGTCGAACAGTTAATGGGAAATATTTCAAATATTAGGTGTTTGCAAAAATTTTGATCATTTTTTCACTCGACACTTATTGGCAAAAATTGGTACAACGTATGCTAGTCAAAATATTTTCCATCATTTTCCACAACGCTTTACCATATTTCTGGCAACATGACGATATCGTTTCGAAAGAATTTATATCGATTTGGTAGCCCGCCGATTCACCCGCCGATCCATTTTCTCATGTCTTCAATTCGCGAAATCACCGACCAGCCAAGCTATGCTGCATCATTCCGAACAAGTGGTAGTCCGACCGCGTCATCCTGGATGGCTCTTGCAACAAGCGGACAAAAGAAGGCATTTTCAGACAATTCGTGTCGCTGCTACCTAAACCGACAATTGAGATGCAATGGAGCCGCATCACCATAAGCCTCTGAACGTGTTTGGTGGGCTTCGGCAGGAGATTGCTTCAAATAAGCAACAAAAGTAACGAATTTTGACGGAGAATTTTTGAGCAGCCCTTGGTCAGCGTCGGCCCGCGTTGAATAAATCAATAATGTTCAATGGAAAACTGCTAGTTTAGGTAGGGGAACGTCAAAATATCCAGTATAAAGGATTGTGTACAGGAATGGCATTTCCCATTCCTTTATCATTTTTATCTGTAAAAGTCGCTGATCAAAATATCTGCAAACACCTAATATGTTAAATATGCCTCCTTACCTAATTAATATAAACAAATATCACGTTTTCATGTTAATTTTTTTCGATGAATATTACAACATTACTAATGAGAAGAATTCTTCAAAAGAGTCTTCATACTCTGTAGCGAATGGCACTTTTATTCCACAAAAAACAAATGTACAAACCCTTTGGGAACATAAGATGTATTTCCTTTACACCAAACGGGCAATAATCCTTGTTTATGAAATCCTTTAGCCAAATATGAGCTTCATCTGATATGCATGGAACTTAACCGTAGGTTGGAAAAGAATTTCATCCAAATCTTAGTCAGAAGTATGTTTCACTTTCGGAACCACAAAAAGGTAGTCCCCATATATAAGAATTTCATGGCTACCTTTTGTAGCCATGAAATGTTTCGAGTCGTGCGGTCTTTCGAAACTCTTCTTCTATTCAATTGTTTGATGACAATTTGTTCACACAGTTCGAAGGTCAAAACGCTCACCTCGAAATCGATGAAAACTTTATAGCTTTATCTTTATGAAACTTGCAATAAATTTTTTACTAAATTTAATTTTGACTTTTTCTGAATTTCTGTATTTCAGGAGGAATTACCTAAAGAACAAATTGCCCGTAAGTATTTTCTTTTTTTTTTTTCTTTTTTGCATAAACATAAGATAAACAATTAACATTAAATTAAACTAATTGGGCAGTTAAAAACAAATGTTTAAAAGACAAGAGACAAAGTATCGTTTATTCGCACAATAAGCGAAAAATTTATGTTTGTTTTTTAATGTAATGTAAAAACAACACCCACGCGATTTCATCGAAAAAGACCGTAAGACAAATCGCACCATGCGGTAGGCCAAGAGACAGCAGAAAATAAGACACAGCTGGAGCGTTGATGTGCATCCAGAGAGAGGGAGAGAGTGAGAGATAGAGATAGAGATAGAGATAGAGAGACAGATAGATAGATAGATAGAGAGAGAGAGAGAGAGAGAGTGAGTGAGTACAATGAATCTTCTCTTATAACTAAATTAAATAATGGTAGTTAGGGTAGGGTTGCTGATCTTATTGATTCAATTAACTGCAACTGTTAGTGTAGGGTATATAATCTCGCGATTGTTCAGTGGAGTAATTTTGCTTTATTCCCTAATTTTTTTTACTATGACTTGCAAATATGTTACAATGAATTTAATGTACGGCTTCTGGTTGCTTGCTATATGGCCGGTGGCTTGAACAGATTGGGAAAAAAAAAGTAAAACCTTTATAATGGTATAGAAGCGGCCATTAAATATCCTACACTCCACAAAAAATTGTCCGATTCGAACCGTTATCAATAGCGTTCGTCCAAACGCGTCAGTGCAACAAATTTGCAGCTGGCACGCAAGCAAACAAGACAGAAGGACGGACAGCTGAACGGGGCGGACACGTTAGTATACTAACTTTCACCAAAATATCTCAACAATTGCGGCCTACAGGTTGTAGAAGAAAAAAACCGGACAGACGGACGGACAAGTTTAGCTTCAGAAAGTCACTCTGAATCGATCGAGAATCAAGAAGATGTGCTCATCAAAGGCCTTCCTAGACTTTGCTTACATAGGTATAAACTTAATACACGTTTGCACCGCAAATGGTGTCGGGTGTTAAAACTCTTTCAAGACTTCGCTTATGTAGGTTGTTGTTGTTAAATTCATTATTTCCATGAATTTCAATAACTCTGCACCCACTGTGCTCATAAGTTGTATGTTTTTCTTTTCGTTAAAATTTTTTTTTTTTTACTTTTTCGCTCCTTTTTTTCACAAATTTACACACAACATGCTTGCATGTGTGCTTGCTTAGGCCCATATGTGTACGTTAGTACACACAGGTATATGCACTAGCAGTTAGTTTAGTTACTTTATAAACATATAATTTTTGTGCTAGAAATATGTAATAAAAAAACCAAAAAAAAAAAAACAGGAGAACGACTAAAATTTGACATAGTTTGTCTGGCTTAAGTCTGCGGCGTTTATCATGAAAGCATAGAAACAAAAATTATGTATTTTCGAGTTTTGTTGTTTTTGCGGCTATTAAATTACTGCAAAAACACACATGTTTTTCATGGAAAAGCTTATTGAAAAATTTGAACATGTAATCATGCTATCAAGTGAAAGTCATGATTCGATAATTGTTGTTATTGGAATATTTGTTTTTTATTTATTTATTTTTTTTCATTATAGTCTTGCGCAATGCCTTCAACGCCTTTGATCCGGAGAAGAAAGGCTATATTGGTACTCAGATGGTTGGCACAATATTGAGTATGTTGGGCCATCAGCTGGACGATGCTACCTTAAACGAAATTATAGCTGAAGTCGATGAGGATGGCTCGGGTCAAATTGAGTTTGAAGAATTCACCACGCTAGCAGCTCGTTTCCTGGTTGAAGAAGATGCTGAAGCGATGCAAGCAGAACTCAAAGAAGCGTTTCGCTTATACGATAAAGAGGGTAACGGTTATATAACGACCGGTGTATTACGTGAAATCCTACGTGAATTAGACGACAAACTCACTAATGAGGATTTAGATATGATGATTGAGGAAATTGACTCTGACGGTTCAGGAACCGTAGATTTTGATGGTATGCGCCTTAATCGACATATAATTAATTATTCAAATGTAACTAACGTTTAAATTAATTTTGTTTTTTATAGAATTCATGGAGGTCATGACTGGCGAATAAGACATGATTTTATTTCTTCTTCAAAAACTAAAAAACAAAAACAAAAAAACAAATCTAAATCAATTTATTATAATTTATTTATTGTAAAATAAAAAAGAAATTAATTTATATCATATAAGGAAAGAGAGAGAACAAGACGTAACGATTTTAATATCGGAGAGCTCGGCTCGTCCAGCTTTTCATTGTCTACATTTTACATAAGTTGAATTGTAGTTATTGTAAAAAAAGGGCGGGACCTTTTCGGGAAGCTTTCAACCTAATTCTATCGGTACATCTGATTAAATCTTCGCACGCTTCACTTTTCATATGCTTTCTTAGATGAAACTAAGTTCATGCTTTGATATATTAATTTTTTTTTTTTTTGAAAAATTATTATCTGGCAGTTAAAGGACCTTGTATGGTTATGGTTTCATCAACTTTGTCACAACAAAAATTGCTCCCTGTTTAATGTAATTTTTTGTGCTTTCAAAAATTTCAAAATTTTTTTTTTTTTTATCCTGCAGCATGGGTTTAACGTGAGTTCCTGCCAGCAAGGCTTAACCTGACGGTGGCCCATGCCACGGGGGTTATTAAGCGTAACCCATGCCCCTGGCGAGTTAGACAATCCCTATAAACTAGGGGCCAGAGTCCAGATTGTTTATTGTGTATGGATCAATAAACCCACTCTGGCCAGTGTTGAGGCCTACCTGAACTCGATTTGTTCCACTTTGGCTTGGAACAGTGTAACCACAACCACCACGAGTACTCCCCGAAGGGCCGCACCCAAGCAGTCAGGGCTCACAAATTGATCAACTATATGCGTTCAAAAAGGGGAAAGGAAAATGCGCTTGCAAGAGAAACCGAGGAAGGTTGTAAGAAACCATGCGGACAAGTACCGGGAAAAATGCAGTGTGTGTGTGGTTTGATCGCTTGCGCTAAATTATTTAATAGAAAAGTTAAACAGAAAATGATAGAAATAAAAAAAGACGAGCGCACATACTTTTACTCTTGACGTTCTAATGAAAGGTACAATTCTTAATCCCAAAGTGCTACCACAAAAAAAGAGCAAAATAAAAAAAAAAAGAAAATTAAAAAAAAAAATAACTTATAACATGCTTAGCATGTTTTTGGGGGCAAGCAGTAACTTCTTGTGCTCGACTGATTTCAAATCCTGACTGAACTAAGGAAGCACAAGGAAGTGCAGTTGGGTACAGTCAAGCATTGAAGGAGAAGAAGAGAGGACCAAGGGAAGGTGACGGGACCGTGACATTTCTGTGGCGTGTTCCGCGTCACATGAAGTGGATGGGGCATAAAAAAATCAGTAAACCATTGGAAGCAGACTATAGGACAACGGCAAGCTAAAAGATTCCTCGAATTCTCTAGCAAAGCACACAAGGTACTGAAGCTAAGGAGGAGCGGCATACGTCTTGTAACTGGTTTCTATGTGGGTTATAACTCTCTCAGGCATCACGTGCACAATATTATCGGCATCTCAGACACAGATTCATATAGATTCTGCGAGGGGCGAACCAAAAGACCCATCATATTCTGCGCGAATACGTCGCCATCGACAGGATCATATACCTGAAGTTTGGCGACAATTTTATAACACCGGACGTCTTTTGGCGAATACGAAGTCATCGGCAGGATCATATACCTGATGTTTGGCGAGCATTTTCTTCTGGCGATCCGCACCTAAGAAGCGAGCGAGTACAATAGATCTTTTTAGGTCTCGGTACGCATTGCCCGCCGCTTAATACTACATTTTATTATCTTATAATACATAAGACATGAAAGAAATATAGGATATAGTGTAAAAGTTTTTTTATGCAATTTTCGAGACTTAGGTTCTCTATTACATTAAACTTAAACATTCCATCATATGGCAATTGAAAACTTGTAACGGCCGCGAACAAACCTTGGGTAGGGTGTCTGTCGGTCTGTG